TGGAAGCACATAAGAAGATAGAATTAAATTAATTGAAAAGCTTTTTTCCTGCTATATTTGAAATATTGCAGTGTACAGGGTATTTATCGGTCTGGTCAGTATAAATGTCTTAGGCTTGTACATTTGTTCACTTAACAATGCTGTCAGTTTGCTATAGTGCTTCCAGAGGACCAGTATACCCTGTTTACGGATTTGATTCTCTCCACTGGCCTTTCAGTAGCTTGGTCAAGTATTCCTAAGGAGTCGCTCAGTAAAAATCTGTAATTGCTCTGAAACGCCCCTTAGCAACCATCCAAGGACATTCTTCTCCAAATGCCAGCTCTGTGAAAGTACTTTGCTGTCAGAAACCAGTATATAGAAATTCCAATAACAGAAACACAATCTTTGAAATAATAACAACAAATTAAGAGTAAACTTGTCTTTGTATTTACCAGCAATTAATTTATAAAACACTGTAAAAGGCTAACCACTGTGCAAGTGAAATAGACTGCAAGGCCTGTTAAAAGTGATCAGTGTTGCATAAATACTAAGCACCAGGGAAATGCACGCTAAGAATTAAGAGATACAGTTTATGACTGCTTACTCCTACAGACTTAAAAGTTAAAACAGCATTTCAGATAGTCATGTATTGTACACTTGGAGGGAGAAAAATTAGAATTAGGAAGAGGAGTAGTGTTTGTGCTGTGACCAGTGGAAGGAAATAGGTGTACGTGATGTGACATTGCAGACAACCTTGTAATCTTGATTAATGGGAGTACCTGCAGGAAAAAAAAGAGGTGTTTGGCAAAACCCTGACAAAATCAATGATTATTTGAAATGATTATGTGTCTTGCTACATTGCCTTGCCAGTTAAAGAGAAATGAGTACATGGACATATCCAAGCGTTTAGTCTAGCAACTTGATGTAATGCAATTAGAACAAGCAGAGGATCAATATGTAACTGCTTTTCACTCACAAGACCAAATGATAGTATATTATATCAAATCAGCATGGCAATCGATCGTCCTTTCCCTATCTGCCTCCAGGTCCTGTCAAATGAAAATCTGGCTAAAATAAGTCATTGTTAGTGAGTCAGGATATCTAAAATCAAGACAAAATATTTAATATATGTCACAGTTACTTGATGAAAATAGTAACTGGTTTGCACCCACTTTGGACGTAGTAATTAAAATGATACTCGAGACAGTCCACTTAAATACTTCATCTCATCTGGGGTTCAGAGACCTGGAAATGCTGCTTGATAATAGTCTTGGCTTTCCTCTGTACTGTCAGATCCGTGGAGGAGAATTTCCCAAGGCCGGATTTTTTTCTGCCAGTGTGGCTTTTTTTTTTTTTTTGTCTGTGCGCAGC